GCTTAACACAAAGGTCGCATAACTAGAAAAAAAAAAAACTGTCAACAACATGTTTGAATGCCACAGTGCTGCTGATGTGTGTCTGCAGCTATGAGGCTGAGCAGGCCTGACAGTCCATCTGTAGCACACAGGAACAGGAAGCAGCCTGGAGAGCAGCGGCGGGGTCGGGTCAGCATTTCTGCATATAGTCCATCAGCTGCACAGTGCGACTGACTTAGTGACATCCCACCGCGTTTTCCCAAATCTACAGTAAGCACATACTGAGAACAATGCTGACTTTCCTGCTGGCAGGCTAGAAGATTACATATTTCATTGAAAACTCTTTCTTGCCTTACAGATTTAATCTGGATTTTTTTTATTTTCAAATTATGCATAAAGGGTTTCGGTTGATCAAACATTTTATGATCAGAAAACAATGAGCAGAGAAAATAGAAAAAGCTGATTTAAAACAAAAACTGTATTTAAGTAAGGGCTAAAAAAAAAAAAAAACAATCCAAACCAACTGGAGTTACAAGGAAATACTAGCCCCCACCTTTTAAAGGAAAAATCCGGTTATATTCAGAATCCTGAAAGTACTTTAAATATGAAATTATTACATATTGTTCAATAGATAAGTTTTTTTTTTATTAAGAGTAATTTCATTTAAACGTGCTTTACTGGAGGCATCCATGTTTGTCAAAGAACACTACTGCCACCTACTGGTTTGTGACGTCACGGTGCGGTATCGGCTGTTGATCAAGTCCCAGTGCTGTATCTGGTGTTTGTCACAACGCGCCATTATCCAAGACATCTTGAAAACATTCTTTTTCCAAATATTGGCTACATATTACGTGTTTTTTCTCTGGCCAGAAGATTTTTTTTTTCCACTTTTACCCGCTATATTACATCATCCAACTGCTGTGCACGTGGGCATTGTGAGTTTAACTATAGCTCTGGTGAATTTCAATGGTGAAGTCCTCTGGAAATCTTCAATAATTGTTGAATCATAATTGTTGCTGATTGC